TTTTTTTTTTTTTTTTTTTTTTTTTTTTTTGAGACAGGGTTTCATTATATATCCCTGGCTGGAACTCACAGCAATCTGCCTGCCTCTGCCTCTCAAGTGCTGGGGCTAAGGGTCTGAACCACCATGCAGGGCTTATTTTTTTACTTTATATGTATGAATTTTTGTTTGTTTTTTATTTTTTTTATTTTGAGTAGTCCTGTATTGCCTGCATGTAGGTAAGTGCACCTGTGTCGTGCAATGCCTGCGGAGGTCAGAAGAGGCTGTCGGATCCCCTGGGACTGGAGTTAAGGACAGTTGTTAGCTGCCATGTGGGTACTGAGAACTGAATTCAAGTCCTCTGCAAGAACAGCCAATGCTCTTAACTGCTGAGCCATCTCTCCAGCCCCAAGAATTCATATATTTAGATTCATTCTTCTCTTTCTTAGGTCTGGGGTTCCCAGGTGTCTAGTTTAGTGCTTGAATTGTCTACACCTGCTGGCCTACATGTTAGACTGTGGCTGGGCAGAATTGGGCAGAAATGGCTACTGCCAACTAGGGCCACTGACTAGACTTAGGCCTTTGTCCCAGGCTTTGGCTTTTTACCCTTCCCAGCCCTGTGAGAAGGGTAAAGAGACCCTTGAGACCCTTGGGTCTCTTCTGAGACCTTTGGGACAAGGTGGAGTGACCTGGGTATTACAGCTGGAACAGGGCAATTGGACTTCCACATCTACCCTGCCTGGCACATCTTATAAAAATCACTACTGTGCTGGGCATGGTGGCACACGTCTTTAATCCCAGCACTAGGGAGGCAGAGGCAGGCAGATCTCTGTGAGTTCAAGGCCAGCCTGGTCTACATAGAGTTCTAGGCCATCTGGGGCTACAGGGAGACCCTGTCTCAAAAAGACCGAAAAAACCCAAACCCTGCTGCTTAGCTTGGAAATAACAACACTGGGCAGTCAAAGGCTCTGAATCCCTGAGGGTGGATATGGGGTGGAGAAAGCAGGAACTAGTGTAGATAGTACGAGGGAAGGGTTTGAGGAATAGAAGCTTTGGGTGGGAACCCTGGGACTCTGCCTGGTATCCACTGGCTTCAAAGGGCAACCCAATATATCTGGCTCCTGGGCTGTTAGCCCCTGGATGCTAAGCTCCCTGACCCTCTACACTGAAAGGAAGCACACATCTCTGGTCACCTCTGCAGTCTTTAGCTCTCTGAAGTTATAGCTGGATGTCATTGGGTGTGCCTCCAGGGTGGCATTGACAGGTTGATAGATGCATATAAAAGAGGTAACTTGGGTTCATGCAGAGTCTGCAGTGCATGTAGGCAGCTGGTACAGACACTGGTTGCTGGCAACCTGCCCTGTGCCACCTACTGACCTGTCACCACAGACCATGTTCAGGCAGCTCAGCTGAGACCCATCAGCTCAGTATGGTTCCCCATCTCAAACTCAAGGGTGCCAAGGCCCCTCTCATGACCTGGATATCCACCTGCTGTTTGACTTTTCTCTCCAAACGACCCTGGGCCCTTAGTCTATCAGTTCAGACTGTTGCTAGGCTCACCAGATTGATTTCAGACCCATTCCAAGGATCCTGGTCCAGGTGGCAGTGAACTTCAATACCTCGAGGTGGAGCTGTGGAGAGCTCTTTGTGGCTCTGACCAGGGGCGAGCCCAGGAGCCTTTGTTAATGTGTGGAGTAGCGCAGTGGGGCTCTGTTCTTTTGTCCTGTCTTTTACTTGGTGCTGTACAGGAATGCTCTTCATTCCTGCCTGGGACTGAGTTTTGAGGGCCCCTCCCATGGTATCTGTGGCACCCCAAGGCCTTGGACTCCCTCCCCTTCCTTTACTATGTCTGTTGAGCTGACCTCAGGGTGTTGGGGGAGGAGGTATCCGGCTCTGCCTTGATGGTTCCTAGGCCAGGTCTGTGCCTGCAACCCAGTGACCCCACCCTTGCCAGTGAGAAGAACCCAAGTCTAGGGCTTGTCACCAGCTTGGGGCCTGTGTCATTCCCTAAGCTTCACCTTCTTTGCGTGAAGTGCTGAGAACATTTGACCTCCAGTCCTTGGGTTTGCCTAAGGCTGGTGAGGCTGCAGTAACAAGGACATACCCTCCCTGAGCCAAACAAGCAGCCTTGCAGGCCCAAGGTAGGAGAGAAGTTCAGGGGCCACAACTCCCAGAAGGGTCTCCAGAGCTGTGGGCTCAGTTACCTCAGCCACGTGCCTCCTCCTGGGTCTCTTGGTTTCTAAGTTTGGCTGGGATGCCATGGCTGGGTGGAGACTTGGCAAGGATTGTTCAGAAACCCAGGGCAGTTTCTGAGACTATAGGAGCTGCCCTCGGTACTGTTGTGAGGTCAGGATTGGAGTAGAAGCTTTTGAGGACAATCCCTCCGCTTGGGCCTTGCAGCTGGGTTTGCCTCTCCTTTGGTGGCAGAACCTCTGACTGTCACAACCCTGTTCTTCAGGGGCTCCCCATACCCCTGCCCTCACCCCTCATCCCCCATCCATTCCTAGGCCAGGCCCTGGCCAGGCCCTAGCCATGCTCTAGAGGCAGTGAACCCACAGGCTGAATGACAGCAAACAACACTGTATGCTGGAGTTGACTATGCCTGGGCAGAAAGATCTTTGCAAGCTAGCCTAGTGAAGTAGAGTGCCCTCTGGCCTGGCCTGCACCTCTGAGTGGCTGGGTGGGGTCTGGCTAGTAAGTCAGCTGACCCAGGAAGTGCAGCTAGCTGGGGGTACCACTCTGGGTCTCAGGAGCCCAATGGGTAAGGCTGTTTGTCTAAAGGACAACAGAGCTTGCCCTGGCTACTCTTATTAGTCTTTGTCTGGAGTCCCCTGTGGGCTTTCAGCCTGGAGCCAGAGGGTACTTACAGCTTGACCAGGGTGATTTAGCAGCGGGGGGAGGTTTTTCTGGACAGAGTCCATGCCCCTTCTCTGTGCTACATGTAAATGTCATACAGATTTGTCCTCCCATTGGTAGAGGCCTGTTTGTCTCCATGGTGAGTGCCTGGGGGTTTGGGTGATGTTGCTGTAAGTCTTTAGGAATAAGTATCCTTCCCCAGCATTCCATGAGGCTGCAGCTCCTGTGTGGGGCTTTGTCTGGTGCAGCTATTCAGCTTGGAGCCACCTTATGAGCCATCAGATCTGGAAATAGCAGGGTCTGGCAAGGGGAGGGGCCAGTGAATACTAGCAGGTTTTTGAGTGAGCATCTCACCTAGGAGCAAATGAGCCTTTGCCGTGTGAGAGCCCTTGGAGCTGAGGCCATTTCTGGGTTCACTGGTACTGAGGCCTGGAAGGTTCCAAGAAGACCTTATTCAAGACATTTTCTCCCTTCTAGGGCTACAGCAGGGCCCATTGTACAAGCTTCACCCTGAGCCCACACCAGTGTTCAAGGCTAACTGCAGCTGAGGTCTTGAGACTCTTACTGGGACTTGCTGGGTCTGAGACATTGGCTAGCTGAACCTTGACTTGCACTGAGAAGCCCAATGCTCTGTTGAAAAGAGATTGTCTCTACTCTGAGTGAGAGAGGATCAGAAGATATAGGGCATGGCTGTGCTTAGGGGTGCTCTAAGGAGCTGTTGGGCCCTGAAACAGCCTCTCAGCTCCAAGAACCCCCAAATGGAAAAGGCTTGCCTGCTCCCAGGTAGGATGTTCACCAGAAACCCACCAGTGTTCCATGGATCCTAGACCTGTTAGGCCCTGCCTTTTCTAGATTCAGTGTCTGGGTCCCATTGGATTGGGAGCAGGAGCAGAAGCAACCATTAAACTGTGGCCAAGCATGTTATGCTTATGGATGCCCAGGTCTGGGGAACAGGAACCTCTATGAGCTTGGCCTGACCTGTATGTGCCTACTATGGAGTGGCTCTGAAGCAGGGCTGGGTCCCAGGTACACCTTGCAGCTCCTGTCCCTCTCTCTCTCTCAGAGCCCTCCAGGGACAGGAAGAGGGACACCTCTGGCCACAACCTTTATCCTAGTATCTAGAGTGTGATCGCAGCCAAGTAGTAGGCTTTACCCATCCCCAAGGGAAAGTGACCCAAAGTCTCCCTAGAGGGGGAAGGAACCAGTACAGGCTGGGAGCCCCAAAAGGAAGCTTGCTCTGATTCTGACTGGAGAGGGCCAACAGTCCGTGCATAGTAACTAATCCAGGGTAGGTATGCTTGTCTTTCATAGGATCGACCAGCTGGGCATGTTTACACACAAGGAATTCGAGCAACTGGCCCCTGTGCTAGATGGCTTCAGCCTCATGACCTACGACTACTCTACATCACAGCAGTAAGTGTGGGTTGGTACGGTGCTGGAGGCACAGTGGATACAAAGTGAGATCCCATCTCTTAAAATAAATCTACAGGACTCTGTAAGCTTGCATCCTAGCCTCCCAAGCAGAAACCCTCTTGCCATTGGCTCTATGGCTCAGCGTAGATGGGCAGTTACCTCCTCTGCACCTGGATGCTGCCTGATGGAAGCTGGTAGTGTTGTGCCTGCTCCATGCTCAAGAGAGGTGGTCCTGTGGGAGGTCCCTGCCCAGGTGGAGCCTTATCACCAGTAACAGAACCATGGCCTGAAACTAACTATGTAGCCCAAGCTGGCCTCAAACTTGTAGCAGTGCTCTTGCCTCAGCCTCCTGGGTTGGGATTACGGGTATGCGCCATCATATCCAGCTTCCTCCCAATTCTTGAGAGCTTATTAGCCATAGCACAGAAGAAAAATGGGCCCAAGTGGATGGCCTGGAGGACTGAACCAGGATCAGATACAAGGCATCCTCCCTGCTACTAAGAGTTGGCCCCCTACCCCATCACACCCGCAGGCCTGGCCCTAATGCTCCGCTGTCCTGGATTCGAGTGTGTGTCCAGGTCCTGGACCCCAAGTCGCAGTGGCGGAGCAAGATCTTCCTGGGGCTGAACTTCTATGGCATGGATTATGCAGCGTCCAAGGATGCCCGAGAGCCTGTCATTGGGGCCAGGTGAGCCCAGGGCCCTCCTGGTCACTTTTCAGGTGTGGCCAGTCACAGACTCAAGTGGGTGTCAGTCTTTGGGAAAGTGGAGACGTGTTGGGGCTGAGGATAGGGGTTGGGTCCCTTTAGGCTTATAGACTGTGGAGTCTTGAGCTGTGCCCTGGGTAGAAAGCTCCAGTCCTTCATTAGACCTGTCCCAGACCCCTCAGAGTGGGCACCCTCCCCTGCTGGTGCCACAGCCAAGGACAGTATCCATGGTGTGGTTGTCCTACTGCTGGGCAGGGTTGTCCTGCTGCTGGGCAGGGTTAGATATGGTTGGTTGGACTTGACATGGCTTAGCTCACAGTGCCTCTGGTCAGTGCCTGTGGCGTGTAGACCTGGCCAGGATTGGCTCCTCCTTTTCTGTCCCCACGTTTTCCTCTGAAGGGCTCTTACAGCATCTTGTCCCTGTGGTTCTGCTGGTGTGAACCCTGCTTGACTGAACTTTGTGTCTGGAAATATCTCTGTTGGAAGATACTGCTTCCACCCTGCCTCTGCTTTTCCTGTGTGCACATCGCTTCACCACTGCCACGATTCAGTGCCGAGTGCTGGGCTTAAGCAGCTTGATCACCTCAGTCTGTTTCTTGTGTTCTGTTTGAGCTCTTCAGGATTTTCCATCAGATTTGGAAAGCAAGCATTTGGTAGTTTCCTCAGCTCTCCTGTCTCTGCTCTGTCAGGCTGGGAATTCACGTGCCCTCGGCTCCTTGAGATGCTTTTCTTTTGTCTTGGTTGCTTTCTGCTGCTGTCTCCCAAGCTCATCTCTTCTGCCGTGCTGTCTCCATTAACTCCACCAAGAAACAGAACCAGTAACAGAACCATGGCCTGAAACTAACTATGTTAGTTAGGTTCTTTTCATCCCATGTCTACAAGTCTCCTGGCTCGTTTTACATCTGTCGATTCATCTGTGATGATGACCCCAAGTTCTTCCTCTGTGCATTCTGACTTCTGAGTCAGTTCTGATTACTTTCTAAATCTCTTGAGGTGATGGCCTGTGGTGCAGCCCCTGTGGGGTAGTGTTAGATATGAATTGCACTACTGGCTACTTAGAAATTTTAATGTTCTTACCAATCTAGGATCTTCGTTTTGGGTGGGTGGTTGCTTAGAAGCCATTTAATCCATCCACTTCCCTAGTGCTGTTTTCCATGGAGAATGTTGTCCAGAGATAGAGATTTGGGTATCACTGCCTACTGGGAGCTGGGCCGCTAAGTGTGCTCTGGGAAGGGTACAGTACATGTCACTCAGGATAGGTGACCCTCTGCCAGGCTGCCCGTCAAGTGCTGCCTGCCCATGTCTTGTCAGGCTGCCATGTTCTGCCAGGCTCAGCCCTGAGGCAGGGCCAGAGCTGACTGAGTTGGTCCTTAGCTGGACTTATAGTCAGAGTTAGGACTTCTCTCTGCTGCCCTAGTTGTTTCTACTCTACAGAGGTACACTTGTCAAGGCTAAGACCACCACCTGACCACCCTCTGTAGATAGTTAAGGTGGGCCATGCTCCAAGACAACACAACTGGTCAGGCTGAAAGTGTGGGGTTTTTTTTGTTTGTTTTTTTGGCTTTTTGAGACAGGGTCTCCCTGTAGTCCCAGCTGACCTGAACTTACTATGTAGACCAGGCTGACCTCGAACTCACAGAGATCCGCCTGCTTCTGCCTCCCGAATGCTGGGACTAAAGGCGTGTGCCACCATGCCCGGCGAAAGTGTTTTTTTCTAGTTCCTAGTACTGACTTTGCTCTGTGTCACAAGCCTGGGCCTGACTGCAGACAAGGTGGCACAGTGTTGCTGACTGAGAGAGGCCTAGGGAGACACATGGGTAACAAACAGCGTAGGGCTCAGGTCAAGACAGCTACCTGCTGTTTTCCAGCAGACTGATGAGAAGGCAGCTTTATGTCCTATGCCTGGAGATCTGTGTGGCAGGGACCAGACCAGACACAGGGCTGCCACTCAGGTGAGGGCTGCTTCTGTTCCACTCAGAAACACATTGATCCAAACCTAGCCTAAAAAATGTACCTCTCCCACCCAAAGGGCCCCTTGTTAATAGTTCCTATAAGGCAGGATGAGGGTGTCTAGGCTGCAACCTAGACATGTGCCTACTCAAGGGGATCAAGTAGGTGGAGAAAGCATTCCCTGGGCTAAGCCTGGATGGCTGGTAACTTCTGACTAGCCTGGCCCTACAGAAAGATGCTGCCTGCCCAGCCTCACTTTGTTGGGGCTGCAGTACAGATGCTCGCTCAGCAGACTGCTTCCCGAGAGGCTGGAATGAATAACCAGCCAGACGTAATCACCTGGCCGTCCTCATGGCTGCAGAACCAGCCAGAAAGCTGACACTGCACAGCTGACTCCTGCCTCAAGGGCACTTATCAAGGAGCACATGCTCCTCACTCTGGTCCTGGTCTATGGGGCTGTCCTGCAGGGAGAGGGACCAAGGGGTCATAGCGACCATGCCCACAGGTACTGCTGCCTGCATGAATTTGGTGCTTGACAACTCCCACAGCCTTTCCACGGGACATCCCTGACTTAGGACTGCTGAAGCCCCCAGACTGGGCACAGCTCCTGCTGCTCAATTGTCCTCAGGCTGTCAGGTCCGTAGAACCCTCTTCCTAACCCCACCTCAGCCCCAGTGACAACTGGCCCCTCCCCACAGACCAGGTTCCTCTCCCTCCTCACCCTACCCCTAGGTCCCGTCCCTCTATGCCCCCATGGTTGTGCCCTAGCTGTGTGGCTTGACTCAGAACTCAGCTTCCTAGGAGCATGGGTGAGATGGGCCTCCTGTTCTGGGGTATCCCCTCCAGTCCCTGATCTAAGGTTAATCACTTCCCTTTCTGGAGGTGCTTGTGCCCTCTTGGTTACTGAAGTGCTGTTATGTCAGCTCAGAGCCTTCTGTTTCTATTTCTCACTGATATCTCTCATCAACTGCTCCTGGGCCTGTACCCTGGGTAAAGCAAATAGATATCCCCAGCCCACCTTGTGTGCTGCCCAGTGACAGTGTTCACAGTGTCCCCTCCCAGGCCATGTCTTTCCAGAGTGAAGAGTCCTGTGTGTCTCCTCCCCTGGAATACGTGCGAGGCAGGTGGCCGGCGGCAGGACAGGGCAGGTCTAGTGCTATGGCTCTTCTTGTCCCCGCTGCCAGAACTCAGCAAACCTACGTGTTCTCTTCCTCGTCTTTTTCTTCTTGCTCTTGTTTGCTTTTTTTTAGGTAGTCTTACTCTCTAGCCCAGGCTGGTCTGGAACTCACAATGTAGCTCAGGTTGGCCTCACACTCATGACAGTCCTCTTGTCTTGAGCCTTTCAGCCAACCCAGCTTTCTGTACTTCTATTTAGTTTGTTCTCCCAAAGCTCCAGCCGCCCTCGGTGGGGAGGTCCTGCATACCTGTCCTTCAGCATTCCCAACTTCGTGCACCCTGGCTTAACTAACCTTCACTGACCAGGTCGGAGACCTTAGGTGTGAGCCCCTCTGCCAGGACAGGTGGGAGGTCAGACTGATCAACAGGCTCTTGTCTCCATGGGAGGAGACAGTGCTACATGGGGGTTTCTGTTGGGACCCTGGTGGATCCTATGCCGCAGACAGGAGAAAGCCCCAGAGGAAGCTGTGCATCTGCTGAGAGCTCCACCATGTCTGTGAGAGTCCTTTAAACCTGTGAAGCCGTGAGGGTCTGGGCATGGCTTCACCGTCCACAGGGCAGGCTTGGGTGGCTCTGCCATCTCTTCCCAGGATCTGGGCCTTGGAAAGGGAAGGGTCTCACCAGTGCCCTACCTCCCAGCAGGCCTGGCTTCAGAGCCCTGTGGGAAGCCATATGTTCCAAGGAAGGGCCTCTCTTTGCATAACTTGAGCCCCAAACCAGCCCTGGGTAGGGGCAGTCAGAGCTACTGTACAGAGTACATGCCTGGGCTTCAGTGAGCGCACTCAGTCCACAGACTACACATACCGTGTTCTCAGTGATGGATCTCATGAGTGAGCACCAGTTCCAGCTGCACCACTTTCTTTTTTAAATTTTTATTATCTTTATTTTATGTGTATGAGTGTATTGTCTGCATGTATATACCCATGTCGGGCAATACCTGCAAAGTCAGAAGAGGGCATTGGACCCCTGGAGTTATGGGTGGTTGTTAGCCACCAGCTGGGTGCTGGGAACCAAATCCCGGTCCTCTGCAAGAGCAGCCAGTGCTCTTAACTGCTGAGCCATCCCTCCAGCCCCCAGCACTTTCTAACATGTCAGAGCTGCCTTTGATCAGGCTTCAGCCATAGGTGGACTCAGTTAATCAGGGATAGCAACAGAACAGGCTGGTGTACAGTCCACCCCTGCTGTCATTGCTCGGCGTCAGTCCCCACACTGTGGGAGCTGTAGCTCACTGGATAGCTCAGCTTCTGTGGCTACCAGACCTGCCCTTGCCTGATGCTCATCCAGTGATAGTGAGCACTAAACACAGGGTTGCCATCATGCTTCCTTCCTCCCAGGGCCCAGCCCTGCCTACCGCCCACCCACTAGTTCCCCTGAGACTTGTGCATAGGGTTGAGGAGTCTGTCATAGGCAGGGCCTCTACAACGTTTCAATTCACCTTTTCTTCCCAAAGGAGAATTTCTTCCAGGCAGGGAGCACAGGGGATCCTGGGGCCATGGGTCACAGTTTGTCTCCTTGAGGCCTAATCCCTCTTACAGAGTTGAGTCCAAACGGGAGAGGTAGCCGTGAGACAAGCAGACATGGTCACTGTTAAGGCCCAGCTGCAGGCCCCTAGGCCCTCAGGCCAGGGTCAGTCACCACCCTCTGCTGACAGCCCCACCAGGGCAGATAATGACCTGGCATGAGGTGCAGGTGATCTCCATGAACATGAGGCTCTTCCACTCTAAGATTCAGTTTCCCTTTTTTAAGAATCTTAGTAGCCTCTCAGAATGATCTGCCATTCCATCTCAGCCTACAGCACCGGGCCCTGATCCTCTCCAAGGGAGGTGCAGTTCAGCCACCTCACCATCTGCTCAGCC